TCATATTTAAGTTCTTCCTTGGAAGTGAAACTGATTAGATGACCTCAGGGCTGCCTAAATAAGTCCTAGAACAAAACAAAGGCCTTTGAACACGTATTACTGTCATCATGAAGTTTCCAACGCTTTAGGCTTCCTCCGCCTGCTGTGATGTGCAGCAGGTTCTGTGTTGCCACCAGATTGCTATTATTACCTTGGTTGTACCCTTGTACATGTACAATGAGATTGGCTGAGCCTCCCTTGGTGCCCCCTCCCCCCCGACACAACTCACAGTGAGGACAGAAGTCCCGATCCCAGATGAGTCCCAAGAGCCATGATAGCCCAGTGGCAAGGGTGGGATTCTACCGGTTTGGACCGGTTTGAGCGAACCGGATGTTAAAGTTACATCTGGTTTGCCAAACCGATACTTCAACTGACCGGCTGGCCCCACCCACCCCGCCTCGCCTCTCCCGGGACTCTCTACATGGCCCATTTTCGATGGAGGTAATGCAGGGTCTGTGCGGAGGCTCTGGGAGGGGGAAAAATGGGCCTTCCAGAAGTCTGGAAACAGGCCTGTTTCTGGCTCCTGGTGGGCTTCCACAGCCCGGGGGAGGCCTCTGGACCTTGGGAGGGCGAAAACGGTCTCCCCTGGGCTCTGGAGGCCCACCAGAAGCCAGAAACAGGAAGTTCTGGTAGGCCACACCCACCATGACCACTCCCACTGAGTAAGCAGGCAGTAAATCAGTTGCTGGTTTTTTGTTTTTTTTAATAAGAATTTTTATTTTTAGACAAACATGCACAAACAAAACATAAACCCATCTTCCAGTTACATACATACAGTGTGTTGGTTGATTACAAATCTTTTGTGCATCCTCTCCATAGTCCTCACTTACAGTTTGTATACATTCTCATATTATCAATCTAACATATATGCATACATTATTATCATTGTTAATCATTTATTTGACTATAACTATTATTCCATCATTTTATACGAGATATTCAAAATTTTAAATTAATTTATATTATAACAATTCCTTACTTCATCCTAAATCCATCCAATAGTAGCACATCTTTATATTATATTGTGTATAATTCTATTATCCTTGTATTGTAAAATTTTCTAACATATTTCATTTCCATATTTTTTGGTCTAACCATCGATAAAAATAAATCCCATATCTTGTAAAATTGTTTATCTTCTTGTTCTCTAATTTCAAATGTCAATGTACTCATTTCGGCACATTCCATTATTTTCTTAACAACTTCCTCTTCAGTTGCTGGGTCTTTTTGAACCTCACCCCTGTGCAGTGGTTAGAATGCAGAATTGCAGCCTGACACTGCCTACTGCAAGGAGTTCAATCTTGAACGGCTCAAGATTGATTCAGCCTTCCATCCTTCCCGAGTCAGTAAAATGAGGACCTAGATTGTCGGGGGCAACAGGCTGCCATTGTAAACCGCTTAAGAGAGGGCTGTAAAACATTATGAAGCTGTATATAAGTCTTAGGGCTATTGCTATACTTCAACACACCTGGAGGACATGCAGGTTAGGGAAAGTTGCAACAGGTTGGCTTCCCATGCTGGCTGGGGAATTCTAGGAATTGGAATTCGCGTATCTTCAAATTGGCAAGGCTGAGAAATATTGCCCTACGGTGTATTGTTTGATGGTTTCATATGCCCGGTCAGCTTGTTACTCAGAAGAAAGAAGGGAATGCTTCCGTAAGCGCAGGAAACACGAACTACTAGTGCTGAATATGATTTCCAAATAAACAGCAACTCTGGAAGGGTTATGCTTGGCCAGATGAAGGTTACGTTTGGACACAGGAAGCTATCATTTGTACATCCACCACAAATCTCTCTGCAGCTTCTGCTCCCAAGAATAATTTTCCTTCTGCCTCACTTATGTGGCTGAGCAAATTCCAAGGCTGCTTTCGGGCTGCCTTGAGCAGAGGAACTAATAGCTGATGTCAAAACCAATCCAAACTCTCCCGGGATTTGAACTGGGATTGTCTGGAAGGAAAGGCAGTTCTTACGCTTTTTACTGTACTTCCTCAGCGGAGAAATATGACTCCAGGATGCTGCAACCATCGTAAATTCAGGCAAAGCACTCTCAGATTTTGATCACACGATCAAAACGCTACGGAGGGGAAGGGGATGCTACATTGGTCGTAAGTGCCATGACCTGTTGTAAGTTACTATTTTCACACTGATGCCAATACACACACACACACACACACACACACACACACACACACACAAGTGTTTTCCCAAAATAAGACCTGGTCTTATATTAATTTTTGCTCCAAAAGACGCATTAGGGCTAATTTTCCAGTTAGGTCTTATTTGGGGGGAAAATACGGTTCCAAATGCATCATTTCAATGATCCGAAAAGCAGATCCTGCACCTGCAGGAACATGCTAGGAAGAAGGAGAAGGAGGAGAAGAAGGAGGAGAGCAGGAGGAGGAGAAGAAGGAGAGGAGGAGGAGGAAAGAAGAAGAAGAGGAAGACAAGGAAGAAGAAGAAGAGGGGGAGGAGGGGGAGGAAAAAGAAGAGGAAAAAAAAGAACAAAACAAGAGGGAGGAGGAGGAGGAGGAGGATGATAACAACAAGAAGATGCAACTTTGAACAGTCGTTAAATGAATAGTCATAACTTGAGAACTATCTGTATCAGAAAACAGCAAAAGGTGCCTCACTGGGTAGCAATAATGCCAGAGGTGTCATTCAGCAGGTTCTGACCAGTTCTGGAGAACCGGTAGCAGAAATTTTGAGTTGTTCAGAGAACCGGCCAATCCCACCACTGACTGGAGATTTTGCAGTATATCCTTCCCCTGCCACGCCCACCAAGCCACGCCCACAGAACCGGTAGTAAAACCATTTGAATCCCACCACTGATATAACTCCATTCACACAACCTTGTAAGAGGAGTAAAATCTGACGCTTTCTTTCCTGGCGAAAAGAGGAACAGGTTGGGCACCTTCCTTGCAGAGGCATTCAAATTCCACACCCAGGAGCATCTGAAGGTAAAACTTAATTAAGCTGCAAACATCTGCCTGATCTAATTAGCTGTGGTCTCAAGTCTCAGCCCATCATGGAAAGTAGAGCAGGTCTTGCAGCCCACCCACCCCCAAAAGGACGCAGAACTTTATTTATGTATTTTTGTCAATTGCTTACAAGATAATAGGTATAAGTAAAAACATAGTTTTTACTATAAGTAAAAACATAGTTTTTACTTTACTTAAAAACATACATGGATACATACAAGAAAAATAAAAAAATAAAAATAAAAGAAACTTACAAGCAGGATGCCTCCCCTCCCCCTTAATCGGGGGGGGGGGAGGATTCCTCCCTTTGTTTCCTTCCCCCCCCCCCCAAAGATCTTTTCGCACCCCCTTCTGCAGGAGACCACCAAGGCTAACCAAAACCGAAGGGAAGGAACCAAAGCCACGCATGATCTTTTCACCGTCAAAAAGCCTCTGAACATAAGCAAAGTGTTGTTGTCTGTAGAGTTGTAATTGCAGGAATGTTCCAATCTCGGATGGCAAACCTCAAAGAATGTTTCCAAGCAAATACAACTCAGGTAAACAAAGTCACTCATCTAAAGGAGGATTAGAGAGAGGAAGTAAACATATGTTAGACTTTAACTAGAGATAATTAATTGTGTTAATTACTATGCTAAACAGTAACGAAAGTTAAGCAGTAACCAAAGTTAACCAATGATGGAGGATAATTAAAAATGTGTACAAATGCAAGACTAGACTCCAATAAAGATCATCATGATTCAGTTGATCATGATCAAACAACTCGACTGCCTCGTCATTACAACAGTTGTCCCTGCTCCTTCCTCACTGAAGAGCCAACTTAGGGAGTGGCACCAAGGTGGGTATCAGCATAACAGAGCTGGAAGTCTGGAGAAGGCAACTGGACGTTTCCAACTAGACTTTGAAATGTCTTCAAAAGGAAAAAAAAAACACCAGAAAGTCCAGTTGCCTCCTGAAAAAAGTGCACCTTTGGGACAACCAGGACCTGGATGATTGAGAAATCTCTAGATTTTTTGGCTATACAATTTGGGATGAACACCCTTGGAATAGAGTGGGAGTAAGGATGGATTTCCAGAAGAAAAATTGCAGACTGCAGGAACCATTTACACTAACTCAGCTGACCCTGAGGACACAGACAAACCTCCAAGTGGCCTCAACGACCCTCTAAAAGGATGCAAATGACCAGCTGTCCGCAAGGAATATCAATCCTTCCATTCCCCACCATCCAGTTAGTGCTAAAGAAGCTTCTGGGATGAGAAGCGAAAGGCCTTCAAAGAGAAAAACCAGAAAGTCCAGTTGCCTCCTGAAAAAAAAACACCTTTAGGACAACCATGACCTGGATGACTGAGAAATCTCTACAGACTTTTAGCTATACAATTTGGGATGAACGCCCTTGGACTGGTGTGGGTGGGAGTAGGAATGGATTTCCAGAAGAAAAAAAATGGCAGATTCCAGGAACCAGTTGCACTAACTCAGCTGACCCCGAGGACACAGATAAACCTCCACATGGCCTCAACCACCCTCTAAATTTTCTAAAAGGATGCAAATGACCAGCTGTCTGCAAGGAATATCAATCCTTCCATTCCCCACCATCCAGTTAGTGCAAAAGAAGCTTCTGGGATGAGAAGTGAAACGTCTTCAAAGAAAAACAAGAAAGTCCAGTTGCCTCTTTGCATCTTTGGGACCACAGAGTCTGAAGGGGCTTTGGAGGTCTTCTAGTCCAACCCCATGCTCATGCCAAAGACCCTATCCCATCTGAGACAAATAGCTGTCCAATCTCTTCTTGAAAATCTCCAGGGGTGGTTTGGGATTTCGGAGAAAGTCCTTAAGCCCACCGCCCTTTCTTTGCGCTCAGCTTTCCCTCCTTGTTTCGCTGGGGTTGCAACGTCCCCCTTTTCCTCGGAGGGGGGTTGCCCCTCTGGCTCCCCCTCCACCCTCCTGCTCCTCTTCCTCCCCCCTCCTCTTTTCTCTCCCCCTCCCTCTTACCTGGCTCCGAAGAAGCCCCCGGGCGGAGCAGACGCCGCACGCGGTGGAGGCGCCCCCGCAGGCGGTGGGCGCGGCGGGAGAGCTCCAAAAGTCGCCCCTCCAGGTCGCCCAGCAGCGCCGCCGAGTGGCCGCACAGGTCGGCCAGCTGGCGGAGCAGGGCCAGCGTCGTCAGGCCGCACACCTCGTGCAGCTGGGCCAGCGGCAGCCCGGCCAGGCGGGGAGCAGCAGCCGTCGAAGGGAGCAGCCGCCGAGGCTCCACCGTGCGCTTCCAGAAAGGCATCGCGCCGCCTTTAGCCAGGAGGGCTCCGCCGTCGCGGCTCGAGGGCCGGCGGGCTCCAGGGTCTGCGGGGGCCGCAGACGGGGAGGAAAAAGCAGGCGGGGGCGCCCCGTCGGTTCCTCGGTCCCTGGGAGTCGTCCGCTAAGCAGCCCAGAAGCGCCTCGCCCCGTCGGAAGAGCCGGAGGAGGCTCTGCTCCCCGGGGAACCCTCGACGGTTCTCTCGGGACGCGCCTCCTTCCCAAGCGGGGAAACTCCGGAAAGCGCGCGCGGGCGACGGTTGGAGACCGTCCTGGACGGTGGCAAAGGCGCTTTTTCCCCCCTTCGGCCTTCCGAAATCGCGCTTTCGGTTCTCCCGGGCCCCGCTGGAAGGAACGGAGAGGAATCTCCGCGGGGCCAGCCCAGGCTCTCTGTCAACGCGCCAAGCCGCCAAAGAACGTTCCCTTTGCGGCGCGGTTGGACGGCGCGGCTCTACTTTTAGGATCGCGGCTCCGTCCGGGGCGCAGCTTTCCCAGCGCCAAAAAAGGGAGATCGACCGGAATGGACCGTTTTGGGGAAGGAAACGGACGCGGAAAAAAAAAAAAAACTAAAACACACACACACACGAAAAAACCCGCCTCTCCCTGGCTGGCCGTCAAAAGCACTCAGGAGCGAGGCGTGCAAAAGGGACGCGTTTTCAGTCTCTTGCTTTTCTCCCTGGCCCGCAAGGTTTCCGATGTTAGCCTACTCAGCGGGGTTGTTGTGTGGACTTAATGGCGGGGGGGAATGGGAGTCATGCTTGGGAGAAAATTGGGAACCCCGCCTAAAAAGTAAAACTGAGTCCAGGCAGCTAAAAACATAACTTTTAAAAAAAGTTGGATGCCCAGTCAAATCACAACATACTTTTTGTACATGCTCAGAATTACTTTTTGAAACTCTGAACTCTATCGTGATGCACCAAGTACTTGAAAAGAGAATGAGAACAAAACGATATATTTAAAATGTTAATGATTTATTTTCCAGCCTGGGCAGAGAGTGAGTCGTCTTTCATTTGTGGAGATTAACTGGTCGTTTCTTTTTCGATCGGATCTCTTTAATGCAACCCCCTCCCCATTTGACCCCGGAATTTAAATGGAATATATTCAAGTAATCTTTGAGTCAAGTTCCGTCTCTGTAGTGTGCGTAGGTGGTTGGTGGTTTGTTTTTTTTTTGCATGATACAAATTCATTAAAGCTTATAAACTACAGTTACAGAATGGTACTTGAGCTAAATCTACACGGTTGTAAAAAAGAGAAAAGAATTTGTAAAAATAGGTTTATGGGGACACCTGCTGGCCAATGCATGAACAGCATTAAGAACTTGATTGGGGTGTCCTACTGTATTACATTTCCAAGTTCAATTCAAAGTTGCAGAAGTATGCCCAGGTTTTCACATAACAAATGTCATTGTTTCCATCTGAAAGGCAACACATTATATCTCTTGTTGATTTCAACGCATGTTGAGTCTCAAAAGTCTAAAACAACAAACACTAAATACAAATTGTGTTTGTTTCAATGGCCTCAACCGGTAGCCAGCTGGAGACCTTGGGTGGATTCAGAAACTAAGAATCTTGGGAGATTTGTAAAAGAAATATCAGGGCCACAGGAAATATGGATTATTTCACGGATTAGATGATTAGATCCCCCCTGTCACATAGATTAGATTAGATTAATAGAGTTTGAAGGGACCTTGTAGGTCATCAAGTCCAACCCCGCACCCAAGCAGAAGACCCTACACCATTTCTGACAGATGGCAGTCTAGTCTCTTCTTGAAAGCCTCCAGTGATGAAACTCCCACAACTTCCGAAGGCAACTTCTGTTCCATGGGTTGATTGCTCTCACTGTCAGAAAACTTCTCCTTATTTCCAGGTTGAATCTCTGTTTGTTCAGTTTCCATGCATTGTTCCTTATCTGGCCTTCAGGTGCATTGGAAAATAGCCTGACCCCTTCCTCCTCTCTGGGGCAGCCCCTCAAATATTGGAACACTGCTATCATGTCTCCTCTGGTTCTTCTAGACTAGCCAGGCCCAGTTCCTGAAACCATTCATTGTATGTTTTAGCCTCTAAATCATCTTGGTTTAGCCCCCTAATCATCTTGGTTGCTCTTCTCTGCACTTTTTCTAGAGTCTAGAGCGTTATGGATGCGTCCATAAAGTCACCAGGAACCCAATCAGATGGAGACTATCTCATTGCGTCTACTTATTTAAGTAAAGCCAAGAGTTCTGTTGCATCGAAGTAGAGTACTTTCTCACATTGATGAAGGTTCTTAGTCATCCGGGTGGAATTGTCTGGAAGTACTTTGTAGCTGTAGGAAGAAAAACCCACCTGGTTCAGTTCCAAGCTGAGAGAAAGATGCTGGAAATAAAATGAAGGCTGGAGGCTGATTGGAAAGAAGGTCCAATTTATTGATGAACAGAACCACATACACAGAGTGCAGTTCTCGGTCAGCTGAACAATTAGCTAAATGAGTGCCAGGATTTAGATACAGGTGCTGAAATGCTGTTGGGAGGGAGGGAGGCGGGTTGCGCAATGAAGGGGCTTGTATTCTGAAAGGGTGTTGGGCAATTCCTATTTGTGGTGGATGGCTTTCGTCCTATGCTGCTTCTTGGGTGAGGGGCTGCTGTACTAATCCTACCATTCTGCTTTTTGTTAGCTGTCAAACTTTGCTGCAAGGAGTTTCGAAATATCCTGTCTTGAATGATTTTTCTGCCTGCAGTATTTGCTTTGCTTATGAATGGAGATAGTTGGCTTCCTCTGTCAATACGCTCTTTATCTCCTTAAGTGCTGGCATCTGCTGTGGGATATTAACAAAGACTTGGGGGGCTGCTTTCTGCCTTTAAAAACACGTTTCTGTGTTTCTCCTTTAGGAAAATATAACATTCTGCTTTTTTAAAAATAGTATTTCCCAAAATATTTTGTTCTTCAGGTGGGGGTGGGAGGGCTTCCAACATAACTTCTTTCACACAAATCATCAGTAGAAACCCTGCAGTGACTGGATTCACACATCAGCTAACCCAGGAGTCGCCAGCCTTTTGGACCTCAGGGACCACCAAAATCAAAATTTGAAATCCCGCGGACCAAGAGACCCTGGGAAAATCCCCCAAAAAAAGTTTGTAGGAAAATTCCCCACCCCGTTTTCCTACCGATCGATTCTTTATTTGGGATCGCAGGATGTCATCTCCAGCTCCGTTCTCAGGGGGAGAGAGAGAGACTTTTGGCTTCATGCAAGGAAAGCAGCAGAAGCAGCAAAAGTCTTTCTTTCTCTCCCCCAAACTCCGCCAGAAATGAGTCTTTGTGAGACTTGTCGCACTGGCACAGCCTCTTGGAGCAGGAGGCCTTACAGGATCCCAAAGACTCATTTCTGGCAGAATTTGGGGGAGAAAAAGAAAGACTTTTGCTGCTTTCCTTGCATGCAGCCAAAAGCAGAAGAAGAAAGAAGCGGAAAGAAGCAGCCTGGTGGCCAGGCCAGGCGCGTGGGGCGAGTGGAGCAAGTTCCCCCCTCTGCCCTTTCCCCCCTCCCCTCACTACCTCATGTTGTGTGCAATGCAACTGATGCAAGCCTTGTGTTCCCACGGGCCATGTGGGCGGCAGAGCCTTGTGTTCCTACGCAGCCTGGATTAATTGCTTTGGGGGGTGACATTTCTCTGTGGACCACCAAAATTTTCTCACGGACTACCAGTGGTCCCCAGCCCACTGGTTGGCGACCACTGGCCTAACCCACAGTTTGGGAAAGGACAAGTGCCATTGAGCGAATAATCCAGTTGTTAAGCAAATCAGGCTTACCCCATTGAGTTTGCTTGTCGGAAGTTGGCTGGGAGGATTACAAATGGCAACCACATATCCCTGGGACATTGCGAATAGGTGCAAACTGGTAGAATCCCACCCCTGGTCATAAGTCCCTTTTTTTCAGTGCCATTGTATCTTTGAACTGTCATTAAATAGTTGTACGTTGAGAACCTCCTGTAGTAGCAATACAAACCATTGGACCGTCCTCAGAGCAGTGACAAGATCTATTCAAACAAGCTGGTAGGTGGATGCTTCTGTGGCATCTGCTACTAACTTTCACAGTTTTCATTCCAATTTAACTTCTGTGGATTTCATCCCATATTTAGGAGGTTCCTAAGGTGTGTGTGTGTGTGTGTCATAAGTGCACTAACATGCCTATCGCCCCGTCACATCATCATCTTCTTTTAATGACCCCCATAATCCCTTGAAGGATGGAGTCTGAGCAACTTGAATGGAGCTGAGTATTTACTTGGCCGGATGCCCTTCCCTGTTGCCAATGCAGAGTTATATTCAGCAGATACATTCTCATCGTGCTCAGGGAGAGAAATATCTGCCTCTACTTAGGATCGAACTCACAAGCTCCTGATGGTGAGGCGAGAGCTTGCACCTCTAGGCCATCGCACCACCTGCTATCCCCCCTGTCACATTTTAGCTTTTTTTCTTTCTTGTTGTTCATTTGAATTTGCAATCTTTGCTTGATGAATAAACAAACAAATAAAAAGTTTTTATTTGGCGTCCCCTTGAATCCAAGAGCCAAACTCCACAACTTCACCATTCTTTCATTGCAATTCATCTATTTCCATCTCCTCCTGACGTCCTGCCCTGCTCGGCAAAACACACTGAATTTCCCAAAATCCGCTTCTGTTTGGATGTCCCAGGGCAAAGCCCCCCCCCCACTGCCCCCCTATTTAGAAAGTGATCTCTGCTATACACAGCCTGGATCCCAACTCAAAACTTGCTGAGCTGTTGTGGTTCCAATTGATTTTCTTTCATTAGCATGCAGAGGGGAGAGGGAAAATGTCACTCAGCAGCAATCAATCAATGTCAGTTCCATTTGGGATGACAAATGCCTTTCCACACTTTAACTTGGTTGATTGAGGTGGTAAAATACCTCGGTATTTTATTTTTTTTAAAGGCACTCCAAGGGCATATTTAAGGGGCTGGACTGCTGCTCTGCATGTAGTAAGGAGTTCTCCTTGAAGAATGGCTAGAATAACTCAAACTATGAGAGAAAGAGAAGGGTAGGGCAAGGAGGGCAACAGGGAAGGGAAGGGAGTAAGATGGAAGGGAAAGAGAAAAGGTGGAAAGGGAACGGAAAGGAAAAGGAACGAGAAAGGAAAGGAATGGGAAAAGGAAAGGAATGAGAAAGGAAAAGGAAAGGAATGGGAAAGGAATGAGAAAAGTAAGGAATAAGAAAGGAAAGGGAAAGGAATGGGAAAGAAAAAGGAATGGGAAAGGAAAGGAATGGGAAAAGAAATAGGAAATGAATGGAAAGGAAAAGGAATGAGAAAGGAAAAGGGAAAGGAAAGGTAAAAGAAAGGAAGGAAAAGGAAAGGAAGGAAAAGGAATGAGAAATGAAAGGACTGAGAAAGGGAGAAAAGAAAGGAGGAGAGAAAAGAGAGAGCGAAAAAAGAAACAAAGCAATTTGAAACAGCAGTCCAAGACTAGATGCAGCTGTCCATCATCTGTTATTCTCATTTACCACTTGGGACTATCTGTGTGTCAGAACCCTGGGACAGAGACCTGCAACCCACCCCTAATCTTCCGTACTTTCCATATCAATATTCTGTGATCGTTTTCACGGATTAACTTCTCTTTGGGAAGGCTGCTGTGGGCACCCAACTCTGGGCATCATCAATATCTATGGTTTTCAACATCCTGAATGTAGTAGACCAACTTGCTGGTTCCATTGCTGCCTCTCTTTGGAAAACTTCTTAGGTGGTTAAAAAGAAAAAGAAAAAGTAAGAACTCTTCCTGAGAACAATGATCTCATTTCAGAAAGTATAAATTTAGATTTTTACACAAGCAGGCCAGCAGAGGGTGCGGGACGCCAATTCAATGACGATAGCTTGTGTATATGTGTGCCTATCTGTGCATGTACATTTGTATACATATATATTACACACATGGATAAACATACATGCATACATCAACAAAAATTCTAACTTGGAACCCCCCCCCCCAAAAAAAACCAAGTTGGAAAAAACATTTTTTCCCCTCTGCTGGACAATCTCAAAGTTTTGGAGCTATGGCAATTTCTTTGTTCTGTTCTCCAGCAATGGACATTTCCCTCTTCTGTTATTTATCCTACTCATTCTTTTCCTAAGGATATCTGATTTTCAACACAAAGTTGGGGTGGGGGGGAAGTGCAAACTTGAATGTAGGTTCAGTTGACAAATCCAGCTCATGGCTGACCCATTTCTCCATCAAGTAGTAGTAGAAACGTCAAAGCAACCCACCTTCGTACTAGGCAGGACAAGAATGGCTTCCTCTCACTTCACCCATCATAGGGTTACAATGATATACATACTATTCCTAAATAGGGAGGTTCCGTTCTTGATTCTGGGGATTAAGAGCCATTGGTAAAAGGAACTGGAGAATGAAATGACAAGAAGCAAGGATTGAAAAATAGACTGGACAACCATTTGACTGGGATAGTATAAAGTCTCTTACCTTGACCAGACGGTTGGACTAAAAGACCTTCAAAGTCCATTCCAACCTTATATATTCTATTCTGTTCTGTTCTGTTGTTTTGTTGTTCTGTTCCACTCTACTCTATTCCTAATTCTATTCTATTGCTTATTGTATTGTACTGTACTATAGTATATTCTACTCTACCCTACCCTACCCTACTCTACTCTACTCTACTCTACTCTACTCTACTCTACTCTACTCTATTCTTCATTCCAGTATTGTATTGCATTGCATTGCATTGCATTGCATTGCATTGCATTGCATTGCAT